CACGATGCGTTAAAAAATTCAACTGTTACTTCTGCGAAACAGGAATGCAATTTTACATTACCATAATCTAAACTGAAAAAAGAAGGAAGATAAAATTTAAAAAATTTATAAAAAAAAGAAGAAAACATCGAACTAATGAAAATTTCGTTACAAAAACGATGCCAATGAAAATATTAGTACAAAGTCGGAAAGTCATTCGCAAATTTCAATTTTTTCCACATATGTGTAATACAGAGGTGATAAACAAATAGATTCTTCATTGTACCGCCGAAGGGTGAAGATTGATGAAATGTCCGAGGCAATAAATCGACAGTGTAGATGTAAACGTTATTCTAAAGCCCTGTTTAAGGGCTTCGGACACTTGAGTTTGTACTAAACTTGTTTCTATAGAGAACACATTTCAAATCCTCTTCCCCGAGCTTATGTTCGGGGCTGACTAACAACAGAATTCCGCGATGCTACATTATTATGCAATTTGCGTTAAGGCTGTAAGCCTTGGCCTTACACTGCCGAACGAAACTACTGTACCTATACACTTTGATAAACAATACGATAACAATACACGATGATCAGAGTTTAGAGTAATCAATTATTCTTTCCACAATACGCGAATAATTTCACAGAATTTCTTTCTTACAAAATTAACTGACTTCTATAATATTCGAGTCTCATTAGTATTTTTAATAGACCAACATTTTCATTTCAATGAAAAATCCTTCGGTACGTAATACTTTTACCAGTAGTCACGATTAAGTCAAATATCTAGTACAATCCTCGTGGTATAATTTCAACGAAACCATAATCTCCTATATTTCGCAAGGAATACTTTCTTCCCTTATTTTGAACAAATACTTTCCGCATTTTCAACTCTTTTAGTACCGACCAAAAAAATTGTATCGATGCACAAAATACTGAGCCGAGCTGATGTAATCTGGTAAGATTTGAGAGAAATGTTATAAAAATTTACGAGAAGAAATAATAATTATATATATTGACATATATAATATAAAATTATATGTATCGAAATAATAATTAGGTATATCGACTGGGCCGCAAAAATGAGTTCATCTCGGGCCGCGAGTTCGACACCCCTGCTACAAGGGATCGAAACGGAATGCGCTATTTTTCCTCTGAAAGTTCGTGTCGGTAACAACAAATCTCGGCATAAAACGCTGTTGTCGACTAATTCTACAGGCGGCTGCTCGAAACGTCTTGCTATCTATCAAATTACCGTGCGCGCGCGTCCCTGTGCTAGTAGATTCGCGGCTCTCAAAAAACTCGTTGCTCATGCTCTCGAGTTTCTCGTTGTTTCCCTCTGTTATCCAATCTGCACGTGTACGGGCTCGCGTGAAAATGGCGGGGGTCGAGGAACTCGTCCCGCATTTTTCGAACTCGGTTTCGCGTATTTTCTCGAGGCACGCGGAGATAGTGACTGAAACCTTTCAGTCGCGAACGACTTCTGTCACTCTTGTCGCTGAGTAAACGCGAACGTAGCTTCGAAATAGATTCACTCTGATACATGATTCGGTCCTTCTCGTTCTGTTTAGTGTATGCAATCCCGGGCTTCCTTTGAACAATTCGCCGTTCATTCAATCAACGAAATCTGTCGCGAATAATCCGCGGATATTTCAGTAGACTAGGATCGTATTAGAGTTATTGTTATCGACCTAATTCATTGTTAACGCGATATGGCCCGGGTTTGTTTGCGCGAGAACTTTTACGCGCAGCCGGCATATTTTAAGGTTGTTGCGTTAAAAATGCATACAACTTATGAAATATCAGACAGTTCGTTTATCGTGTTTGATGCAGATAATTAAGAAAATGACTAATAGCCTAAAATGATGGATAACTTAAAATGACTTATAGCCTAAAGTGACATAGTTATACAGGGTGCCCCAGGAATGTCTCGCAATCCGGAAATGTGGGGTAGCTGAGGTCATTCTAAGTAAGTTTTTCCTTTGCGAAAATGCAATCCGCGGCTTCGTTTACGAGTTATTAACGAAAAACAGTGACCAATCGGAGAGCTAGCGCGGCCAGTGCTTCGCCCTTTCGGCCAATGCCGCGTCGCGCAGGCCGCCTGACGCAGCGGCAGTGGTCACGAGGGAGGGGCGTCAGCCATATGCGATCTTTCATTGGTCACTGTTTTTCATTAATAACTCGTAAACGAAGCCTCGGAGAAAATTTTCGCAAAGGAAAAAGTTGCTTCAAATGAACTCAGGAACCTCAGGAACCTGTAGTGTGGGCCACGAAAGTGTTGATACACCTTCTAAAACGGAATATTATAATATAATATTATTATAATATATATTATTAATATAATATTATAATATAATTTTTACATCACTATCATTACAGGCGTACTATCTTAGGCACACGGTTTCTTCAAACACGCGCTTGAATTCATTCTGAAAACTAGGTAAATTTAGCATGACCGAATTTCAAATGGTCTATAACCAAGCGAAACTGGTTCCTGAACTTTTTCATCCTTAAAAATTTGCTCCGTTATTACTCAAAAGTATAACAAACTTGATTTTTTAAGATGCTTGAAAATATGGAGCTTTTGCCGCTCTCAGACCACTGTGCGGCGTTGTCACGACAAACTCATCTCCCCCAATCACCTCGTCGTTCTGAAAACAAGCACGCTAAGGGCGTAAGGAATAAGGCGCTGAAACGGAAAAAGGAACAGCACTGATTGGAAAGACCCAGCGCGTGGGTTAGCCAATCAGGGTTGTTTACGAATTTTTCCAGGGCAAGCAAGGGTGGAGTAGAAAATGAGAGACAGATCACTCAGTCGCGATTCGTCTATAGATTAACAAAACGCGATTCGTCGAAGAAGAGATAGAATTATTCTAGCCTTGCACCTCGTGCTTATAATTGTTGACAATCGGCAACTATAAAAATGAGCCGCGAGGCTCGAATAATNAATTCATTGTTAACGCGATATGGCCCGGGTTTGTTTGCGCGAGAACTTTTACGCGCAGCCGGCATATTTTAAGGTTGTTGCGTTAAAAATGCATACAACTTATGAAATATCAGACAGTTCGTTTATCGTGTTTGATGCAGATAATTAAGAAAATGACTAATAGCCTAAAATGATGGATAACTTAAAATGACTTATAGCCTAAAGTGACATAGTTATACAGGGTGCCCCAGGAATGTCTCGCAATCCGGAAATGTGGGGTAGCTGAGGTCATTCTAAGTAAGTTTTTCCTTTGCGAAAATGCAATCCGCGGCTTCGTTTACGAGTTATTAACGAAAAACAGTGACCAATCGGAGAGCTAGCGCGGCCAGTGCTTCGCCCTTTCGGCCAATGCCGCGTCGCGCAGGCCGCCTGACGCAGCGGCAGTGGTCACGAGGGAGGGGCGTCAGCCATATGCGATCTTTCATTGGTCACTGTTTTTCATTAATAACTCGTAAACGAAGCCTCGGAGAAAATTTTCGCAAAGGAAAAAGTTGCTTCAAATGAACTCAGGAACCTCAGGAACCTGTAGTGTGGGCCACGAAAGTGTTGATACACCTTCTAAAACGGAATATTATAATATAATATTATTATAATATATATTATTAATATAATATTATAATATAATTTTTACATCACTATCATTACAGGCGTACTATCTTAGGCACACGGTTTCTTCAAACACGCGCTTGAATTCATTCTGAAAACTAGGTAAATTTAGCATGACCGAATTTCAAATGGTCTATAACCAAGCGAAACTGGTTCCTGAACTTTTTCATCCTTAAAAATTTGCTCCGTTATTACTCAAAAGTATAACAAACTTGATTTTTTAAGATGCTTGAAAATATGGAGCTTTTGCCGCTCTCAGACCACTGTGCGGCGTTGTCACGACAAACTCATCTCCCCCAATCACCTCGTCGTTCTGAAAACAAGCACGCTAAGGGCGTAAGGAATAAGGCGCTGAAACGGAAAAAGGAACAGCACTGATTGGAAAGACCCAGCGCGTGGGTTAGCCAATCAGGGTTGTTTACGAATTTTTCCAGGGCAAGCAAGGGTGGAGTAGAAAATGAGAGACAGATCACTCAGTCGCGATTCGTCTATAGATTAACAAAACGCGATTCGTCGAAGAAGAGATAGAATTATTCTAGCCTTGCACCTCGTGCTTATAATTGTTGACAATCGGCAACTATAAAAATGAGCCGCGAGGCTCGAATAATCGTATCTCCTCTTCCCAAAATTGTCCATTTTTGTTTATAAGCTGAAGGAAAATTGAGGGTAATACTCTTTTATATATAATATACTATTACAAAATAGTAACAGTATATTACAAACATAACATTACAAACATAAATTACTGTTATGTTACTAATTATGTATTTACTATTTTTTTACATATAATATAGATATTGAAGAAAATTCACTCCACGCAACAAGTATACGGTTCAATGGATAATCCTACCCACAAATAAAATCTTACAACTAACTTTATATACTATAATTCAACTATTATATTATATTCTTATATAACCTTATATAACCTATAATTTAACTATTTTTGAACTTATAGAAATACTAACTCAACCATAATTTTATGAATTGCATTTCTACACAATTCGTCGAACAATTTTCAATTAAACATGTCCTTGCATTTAAAAATCTGTAGACGCCATAGATTCCCATGCGTGCTCAAATGTAAATTCGAAAAATAACAAAGAAATATTATTTACGTTATCGAAAAAATTGATAACGTATGTATGTATGTTTCTTAAGACCGGCAATGTGCTGCTCAAATCCTTCTAGTTTTCATCGAATAACAAATATGAACGAGAACTTGCATAAAAACCCGTATTTTAGTCGCAGCTTCTGTTCGCAACGTGAAAACATTTATCTGTATTTTGATCATGGATTAAAAACCATCGGATGCTTAATTTTCTCTTGAAAATAGAATACATAATACCCCTTACCGTTAATTATCACGATGCAATCGACACAGCCATCGATATCGTTCGCGCTGACAGTAATTGCTTAATACCTGTTTCAGATACTCCGTCGTTCGCGATAACGCGTTTACCTGGTTTTGGAATTCCGATCGTCGAGGGGATGTCCGTCAGCCTGAAATGCGAGGTGGACAGCAATCCGGCCAGCACGCCGATCTGGCAGCGTGGTAAGTGACAACAATGACGCCTGATTCGATGTTTCGTTCTCTCCGGTATCGCGAAAAATATTTCGTGACGCGTCGCTGCGTTACTACGCGCGGGGAAAAAAAACCGGTCCCATTTCGAACGTATAAAACCGTAAAATATTCCAAATATGATCAATATTTCACTCCGTCGCTTTGATTCTATATCGCGAAACCCTTCGGGAATCGCAGTTATTAAAATTCCATGCCAAATATCTAGCGCTGCAATCCTAATTTGTACAAACAGGCAATATGGAAACAAAAATGTTTATTTTATTCGAATAGAATAAAATTATTATTATACAAATTACAAATAATATACAATAATAAAAATATATATATAATAATATATAATATAATAATATATATAATATAATAATAATATATAATAATATATAATATATATAATAAATTATACAAATTATACAAGGTGAGCCGTTATATGTTATGTTGAATTGTCTGAATTCTTGCATGAAATGGATCTGCAAAGATTAGCATTATTAATAATAATTATTATTAATAATTATTATATAATAATAATTATTAGCATTATTATGCTCAAAATTTAGATGTTTTGGAAAACATTTACAATGAGTACCAGAATTATTGGGACACCTTTCAAAACTTTTCTCAAAGTGGACCGGTTAACTAGGCAATGTCTACACCTTTTTCTTTTCTTTAAATTGCAATTGGCTAGAATAAAAAAAAAGAACCTCGCGTTTTTAATGATGCAGCTTTACCTAAACTTTCGTTATACGCTCAGATAAAAAGTTAGAGAAAAAAAAACGAGACTCTATTATTGTTGTTATTCCAATCAACTGGAATTTAAAAAAGTATTTTTAGACATTGTCTGTTGAACCGATCCTTCTAACATCTCAAAAAAGTCCACGTCATTTCGTACATCTTTAAAAAAGTTATTCTGTTTTGAAAGTTGTGCCAATAATTCTGGAATTCACTATACTAATTTTAAAATACTAAATTCACTATAGTAATTTTAAGAACCAGCAATTCTGGATGTATACTTCAATCATTTGTCGTTGTTAACGTTTGTTATATAGGGTGTTCCATACCTGAGGTTATTTGAAGTAACTTTTTCCTTGGCGAAAATGCAATTCGCGGCTTTGTTTACGAGTCATTAACAAAAGAACACTGACCAAAAAAACACATCCGTTAATAAGTGTAACAGTGTCAATATCAATTGTCAATGTAATTAATATTGTTAAACGACGAGAACAAAGCGTATTCCAAAAATAAGTATCACCTCTATTTTGGTCCATAGATTATTATCACGAGTTTATATAAAAACGAATAATCAATTAATAAGAAAAATTGACAAAAGTTTTATTTCTTAAATATTGTTTGAACAAATAACTTTCTCGAAAGTGTTTTTAAGCGATTAAGTTCGTCGATCAAATGCACGTATTTTAAAGAGAAATTCATTGTTCCACGCCCTTTAATTGTCGAGATATCTAAAAAAAAAAATTGTTTTTATCCTCGATTTTGAGAGAAAACCATTTTGTTCACTCTCTAGCTATGGACAATTGCAGATGTAAAAAGTAATACGTGTCAAATGTATAACTATATTATACTAAAATCTCATTAAAATTGGCGTGTTACACTTGAAAACGTTCCCTTGTTAGTTCGCAAAGGGTCAATAATTGTTTGACGGCTGGTGTGGCGCGTTGCACCGTTGATATTATTTTTCATAATTAATTGGTTCGTTCATTCTTTTTAATGAAGCAAAGAACATTGAAAAATATGAAATGGTCTTTTTGAAAATTACATATCTTTACAAGGTATCCCTGCTATGCACAAGTTGCTCGTTCTTTTCAATACTAAAGTTTACACTGAATGATTGTAGAAATAATTTATATCCAACAGATCTAGAAGATGTCATGCTTATGAAATTAAATTGATTCTTTTTATTCAATATTTCTCACAAAAATGTAATACTTACGTTTCGATTTCCATACCGGTCCCATAATTCGTAAATAATTTTACATAATATTGCTAAATAAAAAAATCCAGCATATATGCTAGATATATTCCATTTCTAGGGACATTTTTAACAAAGGTTTCCAAAAGATTTGTTTCCATACAACTATTGAATTCGTTTCACGAGAATACGTTTCGAAAAAGCCCTCCAAAGCTGACAATACTTTTCGCAAAAATTCCACGGCGACAGATATTTTATTGAACGAAACGAATTTCGAATGGAATTTTTCGCTCACAATCGATGGTACTTATTTATCTCGAACCCTGTTTTTATATACAGCAGTTATAAAAATCTAAGAAAAATGGATCTCGCAAAATTATAAGCCATAGTTATGTACCATCAAACTATTTCAAAAAAACATCACGAACGCCAAATTTTTGTCTCGAACCTGAAATTTCAAACGTAAATCATTGGGACAGTAAAAATTCGATAAAAAGTTTCGGTCAGCACTATATATATATATTGTTAATATATATTGTTATATAATATAATAATATATATTGTTATATATATATATTGTAAAACAACGAGAACAAAGCGTATATATATTGTTAAACGACGAGAACAAAGCGTATATATATATATATATATATATATATATATATATATATATATATATCTATTAGAAAGTCACATTAACGCGAACACGATGTAAGAAATAAATGTTCATCGGAGCTTGAAAACGAAGTTTCACACGGAGGAAATTCATTTTACCCTGCTAATTAGTATTCGTTCGAAGAATCAGTTTTCGCTTGGTTATTCCTTCGATCAATGCAAGGCTCTTGTTGCAACTTTAACGAGCAATGTTCGCCATTCTCAAATTACCCGATACGTCCGGTGGAAACTGCACTTCATTTACCAAATGGGCTAGCAAGAAAGTTAAGCAAGACTACACTCAAACCCCGGGCCGTTCTTCTTAATTTTCTTCCTCCCCCTTCAATTCCGGCTATCTTAATATTAATTTCCGGCCTATTACTGCTCCCCCTCCCCCGGTAGCTTTTCAGTTATCAGCAAACAAAACGATAAATCGCGTAATCATATTACCTTGTCCTGGTAATAGACAAGGGAGTGCTAAGGCCGGCGTAGCGTTGCCTCGGAACAATAAACAAATTAAACTCTTCTCGTCGAAGATGCATAAGCGACGAGCAAAAGTGTGCAAGCATAATGTTTGTCTCATAGAAACGAAAATAACACTGTGAATTACTTTACCGATCCATTGGTATTGTTATTAGCATTGTTATTAGCATTATATAATAGTTTAGCTTCATTTGCGTTTACAGTAGGGGGAATATTTTACAAAGATGAGAACGTAACGCGACGATGACTGTACTGCGCTTTAATATTTTATTGTCGATCCGTAAACTTAAACTAATATTTTTTGTCCATTTTCCTTCACTTTTATTCAATGCTTTCAATCTGTGTGACATACTGATATATATACACAATACATAATATATATATATATATAATAATAATTATAATATAATATATAATATATATAATAATAATTATAATATAATTTATATATATTATATATACATATTATATAATATACATAATTTCTGATTCGATGTTATACCATACCTGCTCTGTTCTTCTCCATAGCAGAATTCTACGTGATAAAGGGAATCACGGTAGAATAGCGAGGAAGGAACCTTACGTTTCCAAGACGAACCGACGCAAGCGTTTAGAATTTGAAAACAATATGTTAATTGCGATGATAGTTTTTGGGATAATGTAATATTCTTGGATGAAGTTAAAATTAACTTATTTAATTCAAATGGTAGAATAATTGTTTTGAGAGATTACAGTTTAGAGTTAAAAACTTTTAAATAAATTCTTTAGTATTAATTACTTATTATTAGAATCGTGTATCAAACAAGTCGTCCCCAATAACAAAAAGATCGTTGAGATTCTTCTGAGTATAGCACAAGTAATTGAAGGTTATGTTAATCAGCTTCCGGTAGATAAAGTATTCCTTTCATTCACCTTACAATTACAATCGCTTAATTCCGACCGATTAATTAAGGAATTTGTAGCATTATTTTCATTTTCACTGTTATTACTTCTTTTGCGAGATATGCGGTATATGTGTGTGTGTGAGTGTGTGTGTGTGTGTGTGTACACTCTTTTGCTCGTCACAGTAAGTACACGCGCAGATCATTTCTTTCGCCGTGGAACAGTCGTCGCCTGTCTTTCTCCTCTCTAATCCCATGTTGTGAATGCTTCGTCAAGATTAAAATTCTACGTTCTTGTGTTCGCTTCCCTTCTCGTTCCGCGGCGTCGTCGCTCTTTTTCTCTTCGACCTGTCTTTTTTCTCTCAACCGGAATCAATGAAACTCCGTCGAGATTTCGCTTTCGAAGCGTTTCACGGACTTATTTTCGATAATTGGAAATCTCCTTGTACCAACGCGAACGTCGTTGGCTCGCTCGAATTCGTTCGTCGCATTTTTCCAGCCGCCCCCGCCCCGAACGAACCCACAGTAATCGATATCGCGACGCTGAAGTGGTCGGTACAAGGATGCGCCAACCTTTTCGAGGACGAAACGAACTTCCAGGACTCGAAAAAAGTCGAAGTGGGTAGCAGGACAAGGCTAGAAAAGGCCTTGGTGCATCGTATTCGCGTTTCGCCGGACTCGCAGTTCCTTCCCCCCACCCCACCGCCCGCCACTGGTTAAATGAATAATTTGTTTGATGATCGAGTTCAAAGCAAATCGATCCGGAAAATTTCCGGTGGAAATTTAATGAACACCGTAAATGGGAAAGTTTGAAGGCCGCGTCACCGTCTCCCTTAAATTCCATTCGATTCACCAAGGAGAACAGGAACAAAGAAATGATTGCCGGCCGACTGGATTCATTAGCGGTCTCTTGTTCTTTGTCAAGCTCGGTGACAGTAGACTGGCCGACGGCTTGATAAATATTTAAAACCCTCCTATAATTTCCCCCTTAGTCGGTTCTCCCCCAGACGCGGTCTCGTTTCGTTTTTCCG